GATTGGCAACAGCTGAAGCAATTACCATGGCAGGGTCTTGGTGCCTGTTCTTGAAGGCAGAGGAGTTTCGAGCAAGCTAAATATGTTTGGAGTAGGGCTGCCATAAGCTCAAAGGGCAGAGGCGTTGAGGTGAGATTTTCGTAGTTCAATGGCCATTCTTCAATTCTAGTCACTTGTTTGTCTGAGATCTGGATGTTGAGTTTCGTATGTTCGGGTACTATTTTCCTATTAAACAGATTAACTCTAGTCGATAGGGCGTTTTGACAAACACTCCATTTAAATAATATGATTTTAGACTGTGTTTTCAATTTCCACACCATATTCCAAAGCTTTTTAGGGGTCTGGTAGGAGGATGAGGCTTGGTTTATGTTCTGTTTGGTCTCTGTCTCTCTTAGTTGGTTATAGCCGCTCTTGACTGAGTTGCATCCTGACTGATTGCATGTCCAGAATAGCTTGTCTACTGTTGATGTTGTTGATAGAGGAATTGCTAGAATGTCATTCATTGTCTGCTAATCGTAGAAGTTCTGCTGTAGCTGCTCGTTGCACTGTGCCTCCCTTGTTCTGATCGGTTCTGCCCCTATATTCATTGTAATTTGTAGGTCCCCCTAGTGTGCCTCTTTTGAGCCATATGTCTTCTTTGATTTTGATTTGCTGCCCATGTCCAACATCCCATCTTACCTCCTTCGAGATGGCGTCTCTACCCATTATTAGACTTAGCCATCTCCACGATGGGCAATAGCCCTTCACCTCATGCCAGAAATCGCTATGAGAGAAGTAAATTCCTTTCAATACTTCACTCCACAACGCATTTTGGCTCGAGTGACCCTTCAAGCTTGTTTGCCCAACATAGCTCTGTTAAAAGTAAGGTCTCTAAAGCCCAAACCACATGTGTCTTTCTCGTGCTTCATCATATCCCATCTCTTCCAATGTAGCCTAGCTTTGGAGGCATGTGTTTTCCACCAGAAAGATGCTATCTTTTGGTCAATAGCCCTGCAAATACATACTGAAATTTGAAGATTGACATGGCATAATGTAGTAAATCGTGCACCATTGCTTTGATTAAAATCTCATTTCCCGCTTTGGATATATACTTTTCTTTCCACCCTTCCAACTTTATGTTTACTCTTGTCATGATTAATGCAAACATCTACTTTTTAGTCTGGCCCCAATTCGAAAGGGTTCCCAAATACTTTTCTGTTTCGTCAATTTTCGGGACTCTCATCTCCTGAGCCATGTTTTTTCTCAATAGATATGGACATCCAGTGCTAAAGCAAATCCCTGATTTGTCCAGATTGATCTCCTGGCCTTAGCATGTCAATATTAATGTAGGATAGAATCTAGATTTTGACATTACCTAACCTTCCGCAAACAACAGGTGGGTTTATGTGGGACAATTCATATTTAGTCTTGTACCTTTGAAGCGTACATCTTCAACTGCCTTTTGCGTAAGGAAGGATGACATGTTTGCAACAATTATAATTAAGTAGAGAGATAATGGGTCACCCTAACGAAGTCCTCTCGATGGCTTAAAATAGGGAAGAGGTTTCCCGTTGAATTAACACAAAGAGGGATTGTAGTGACGCATTCCATGACCCATGATACCCATATTCCAATGAACCCAACTTCAACATACATGCTTCTAGGAAATTCCATTCAAATTTTTTCTTCTCTTTCTGATTCTGAGTTGATGTAGAATGTCTTTAACCACAATTACATTAGCTTGGATCTATTTGTGGCTCACGAAGGCACTCTGCTCCATTGTTATCAAATTTGGGAGCCAGATTTTAGGCAATTCGCCAAAACTGCGAATATGACTTTGTAGGTAAAGTTGCCAAGCTGGTAGGTTCGAAATTGATCTATCTTCTTAGGATTAGGATTTTTGGGGTTAAGAGCAATATGGGTTTTATTCAGATCTGGGTCTAGAGAGCCGGTGTTCAAAAAAGGCCTCGCCAGATTAAAAACATTATGTTGAATAATTTTCCAATGGTTTTGGTAGAGCTGACCAATTAGCCCATCTGGTCCAGGTGCTTTCAGAGCGCCCAATTGGAAAGTTGTTTCCTTTACGTCATGCATCGTTACACTTCTCAGAAAGCTTTGGTTCATATGGTCTATGACCAAACAGGGACCTTGGTCTAGCACTGGCTAAAAGTTTCATGAGTTCATTGTGCTATTAATGACTGAAAGAAATCCACTGTTGTTTGCTTCAGTTTTTCCAGATCTCGGATCCACTCATCTTCCGTGATTTTCAAACATAGAGATCTTGTTTCTTCGCTCCTCTGGACATGGTTGCATGGAAATACTATGTATTCTTGTCGCCCCAGTTCAGCTAGTTCATTCTTGAGTGCATACCTTGATACATTTCTTCTTATTTCTATAGCTCTTCAATTTGCAGGTTCAATTGCTGTACCCTCTCCCTGTTGTAGTTCAAATCCTGAGCATTTGTGATATCTAGAGATCCCTTTTCAGGGACCTTATTTGGCTTTGAGCATTGGAGAATTTTTCTTGCTCCATTGCGAAAGGGCTCGTGATACCTTCTGTAATTGTGGAGTAAAGTTACACTTTCTGTTTCGGGGGTGCTCTACATTGATTGTACAACTTTTGCACATTCTTCATCTTCCAATCAATATGCTTCGAATTTGAATTCCCTCTTTCTTTTTACTGTTTCTGCCAAGAGTGTCAACAGCATGGGGCTATGATCAGAGCCAATCATTGGTAAAGCATAGACTTCGGCATTTTGGGAACATCACTCTACATTCTACATTACATGGAATTCTGGCTACTCTTTCCTTCACATAAGTACCCCATCCCTGTTGTTTGCCTATGTAAATGCACATCCCTTGCCTTTGAGGTCCATGAGAGAACAATCTAGAGAGTCCCGAAAAGCAGCTAACTTGTAGCATTCAGCCATGCGTTTGACTTCCTTTTCCCAAGGATACAAAATTTCATTAGAATCGCCCATAGAGATTCAAGGAAGCTGGTTGGAACGACTTTCTTTATATTTTCCCAGAGTTGGAGCCTTTCTTGATATAAAGGTAATGCATGGACAAAGGTAATTCTCTATTTTTTTTTTACTATCATTTTCCTTTGCATAATTTGTCTAAGACCCAAACATTCTTGGAACATGAAATACACGAAAACAATACTTGTTACCTTATTTGTGTCGAAAAGTTATTATACATCAATAAGGTTGATCCGACAATGACCTCTCGGAGCCCCATCTCCATCCCTACAATTGGCAGTGGCATGATGATTATGACATTAGTCTTCAAGCCAAAGCTTGCCATTGCTATTCGAGATCGACCATGGTCCTGGCCTGCAGCTATCTTGCTCTAGTGAGTTCCGTGTGAGTAGTGCTTGGAATGATCTTAGACAACAGAGGAATAAAGGTGGGTTGGTGCCAACTGATCTGGTTCAATCCTGAGGTGGAGACTAGGGAGTAACTCCACATGATGACTCTATTCCCTAGAGATTGGACTGTTGAATCATCTTAAGAATAATGGTTAAGTTATGGAATCATCGCTTTGAACTAGAGGTATGATTCCACAAAACTCTCAACCGAGTTCCTTTCAAGTTACGTTCCAAACAGGCCACAAAAAACAAAAAGTTATGCTCCAAACCAACTTTATGCAAGACACCCTCGAGATCGAACAAAAATAGATTACCACTCTCCGACAGAACCACACTGAATTCAGGCAACTTCGGGCACCAACAAGCATGCACAATAGGACAAGTCTTGAAAACCTTACTACCCAAAAAGACCAAGACCAGTACCCTGGAATTTCCGCCACTTCTCACAAAAAACCAATGCATTGAGTACTACATTGTATATGCCAATAGATACCCGACACTGCTCAACCCGCGATTCCTCGAATCTCGAATTGAATTAATAGCAGTCCTGACAATGGAGCAATTAAATCTCTTCTTGGACCTAAAAACATCACTATCCTCACCAATCTTGACCATAAACTTCCCATCCTCCACAGGCAAAATCAAACCCAATTTTGTCAGAATTAGCACCTGTTGGGAAGAACAGAGTCACCTCGCTAGTGTCCGAGCAACAAAGGAAATGGGGTTGGGTGTGTGCGCGAAAGCCTCGTCGGTCCGCTCGGGCCGAACAAAGCTTCGATTTTGGAGGAGGAACCGAAGAGGTAGTCTTGAGGAATCAGTGAGGAGACTTGAAGATGGTGTTAATTAGGAAGACTTGCATTCTCGGTTGAAGTCCATGGTCGTCCAAGAGCTCGAGGTCCGAACATCAGAAAATGGACTGAGATTGCTGAGAAAGTCTTGGTAAGGGAAGGAACATAACTTGGACTTGAGTTCGGACATGTCTACCAAAAGAAAAATCCAACATGAATTCGACTCTTCTTTTTATTTAAAATATTATTTGAACAAAAATGCCCTTGTTTCACATGTTTGTTGGCCGGCGACCATTTGACCGACCAGCGAGTTCAGACTCTTATTTTGGACTAATTTGGGTATTTTATATCCTTATTTGAAATAATGTTTACTTTGAGCCGTTTTTTGAGAAAATGAATCTACTTTAGTCTCTTATTTGGATTTTTCCCATCAATTTGAATTATATGAATATCAATAATTTCCTTATTCGAGTCCTACAAACGAAAGCTCCTTTATTAAAAAACTATCTGTCTTAATATCACATACTATGGCTAGTGGAGAGGATAAGATTAGGGTAGATTACTCGCTACGAAACCCCATTTATGATAAGGATGAATGCTTATCTACTACAAAGCATGTAATCTCTTCATTTTTCCCCAAAAAGACAAGACAGATTTGTTAATTAACTTACCAAAAAAGAAGAAGATGCAATCTACCATTTTTAATTTTCTGCATTCACTTTCATTTTGGACATTTGAAATCTGACTTTTGTTTAATATTAAAGACTTTAAGACTTAATCCTCTTTAATCAACAGGGGTGAGCAATAGGAATGGCCGGGATTGGGAATTGCCCAGACCGGATCGAATCGGCCAATTCTGGGTGGTTTCCGAGGGCGTCGGTCCGATTCCTGATTCCAAAGATGGAACCGCCCAAGCTGGACCGATTATTATATTTTATTTCTTAAGAATATTTAAAGAACCTCTAATCACATATTCGCAATCACACTCGCTCTTTCCCTATTCCCTCTCAAGCTAGCTCTTTCCCTCTGACGCCTCTCATGCCTTGCACGCTCGCTCTTCCTCTCACGCCCTCTCACCCTCTCCCTCTCACGCCTCTCATGCTTTCCCTGTCATGCCTTGCACGCTCGCTCTTCCTCTCACGCCCTCTCACCCTCTCCCTCTCACGCCTCTCACACCTCTCACGCTCGGCCTTTTACTCTTAGCTCTCACGCCTCTTTCACAATCACAAACCCTAATTGCTCTTTCCCTCTCATGCCTCTCTCGCTCGACTGTTACTCACAACTCACAGCCCTCTCAGTCACTCTCCCGTTTAGCTCTCTAATGGCGTCACCATCTCTCACTTGAATCGCGTCCCTCTCGCACGACTATAAGACAGTGCCACCTTCTCTCGTTTGACTCGCGTCTCTGTCGCTCGAGCTTGACACCTCCATCTCACGGTCTTATCTCGAGTCTCGACTCTCGACTCTCACCTCCCTCTCTCGCTCTGTGTTTTGCATCTTATCAAGGTAATATCCAAATGCTTTGCTCTTTGCCGTTCTTCATACGGAATACAAATTATAGGCTAACAGGAATGTGAGGCTGCGTGATATTGCAGTTTAGGATTTTGCTTATAGCGGTGGAAATGTTTATGGTTTTTAGAACTCGTGAGGCTGCGACCGGTTCCATTGGACCACCCAAGGACCGGCCAGTTCGATTCCAGGACCAAATGGTCCGGTTCCCAGTTCCTTTGATCTGGTTCCCGATTCTTGAGTGGGAACTGAACTGTCCGAGAACCGATTACCCGTATTAATCAATGGTTTTATTTTTCCATGTAGAAAGTATCTTCGAATGGTAAGTGTCAAATATGATCCATTTTTCCATGTATATCCAATTTCTTCCATAGGAGGAAGCAATCTAACCCTCGATTTAAAGGATTAACTTGCACGCATTTTCTACACCCAAAGTATTCACTCCCTTACGTTCCTCTTCCAAACCTGATCAGCATCATGTGTCCTGCAAAAACAAGCTCCAACAATATGAAGACTCCAATGCTCTTGACACTTCTCTCGGTCACTCAACTTCTTCTCATCACCATCCTCCCATTCGCATCCGCCAACCTCATCGACGACACGTGCAAGAAGACGCCATACGCCGACTTCTGTGTCTCGGCTCTCAGATCCGACCGCCGGAGCTCCACCGCGGACACCACAACCCTAGGCCTAATCACGGTCAACAAGGTCAACGCGAACGCCAAGTCAACTCTGACTAAAATCCAGGACTTGCTCCGCAAATCCCCCAACCCAGGGACGAAGCAAGCGCTGACCTTTTGCGAGGAGTTGTACAAATTTGGCATAAGAGAGTTGGTGCCCTCGAGCAAGGATAGTTTGACATGAGGCGTGTACAAATTCTCCGTGGACAACATGAAGCAAGCGGCGAGTCACGCGTCCGAATGCGAGGCAGGCTTTGGAGGCAAGTCGCCATTATCGCACTCGAACGATTATGAGAACAAGGCCGCCTCGGTGTCTTCTGCCATTGCCAGTTTACTGCTGTGAGCACTGATGATCAGTGAGATGGGTTTGTTAGATTAATAAAGGTTGTAGAAGAATGTTAAGCTCGGAAGCAAAACGAAAACTGAACCGTAGTTTTTCTTAATGAAAGTGCAGTTTTTGTTTGATAATATTCTATGATTCGTGTCCAATACCAAAGCATGCTCATTCTAAAGCTCATCGATATGGTAAGTAACATTTCCATGACCAAGCGCCTCACCACTAGCTAATAGATATATGCGTAGACAAATTACAACAATTCACGCCTCTCAAAAAAGCGTTGTGCACTGGACGCATCATGTGTCCTTACACATGTAGATCGAAGCAAATCCGAGGTATAAATTTTCAAAATTCAAACATAGAGTGGGTTAGGCAATGTAAATTTACCCAGTGTCAGTCATGATATATCATATGCTTTCTGCTTCTTTGTGCACCTCAGTGTTAGGGAAAATATGATTGATTAAGAAGAAAAATAAAATCAAATTTTGAGAGGTGATAACAATCTCTTTAAAGAATTATTCAAAAGGAAATAATTGGAAACTATGACTGTATATTTTTAGAAAGGAAACGAAAAATGAAAGTTGAAAGAAGAGAACAGATATTTTGAATACATAGTAGCAAAAATATATATGAACAAGTACAATTTTTCAAAGGTTAAGAAGTCATGCTCGAACAGACACAATCTTCCAAATGTTCTAAGAGTGACTAATAACCGTTAGGCAAAATAATAAAAAATAACCGTAACTCTATTGTGAACAGTCACACTATTTCAATAGGACAAAATAATTATTTAATAATAATAAATTCAAAATTTAATAAATAATAAATAAGGATTAGTGCCAATTATGATCTGCGAGCGCGCAAAGTGCTAAGGGTACCTAACATTTGCGCACCTACACGGGGTATTGTGGGGTCTAGTCCACTTATTCCATCGTCTTCATTTATAAGAATAGAAGTTCTACATTATTATATTGGCCCGCACACTCCCAACTTTCCTACGTAGGACAAGGCACTTTTTGTTTGTTTTACAAACAAACTTCCAACACTAAGGGGGTGTTTGGTTGGGCTTTGCCAAGGGGCTTTGAGCCTCCAAAGCCCTTTGGGGGAATTATTTTGTGTTTGGCAAATCATTTTTGGAGTTCTTTGGCCAAATGTTGGCCTTCTCAAGGCTGAAAGCTCAAGGCACCTTAGGGGGTGCCTTGAGCTTTCAGCATTCTCGGAATGCTAGTACCCATTTAATGAAAATATGTTAGTTGCCTTTTTTGCCCTCAAAATTTGTTCAAAAATCCACTTTTGCCCCTCGTGTGTACTGTTCACCTTCTTCTTCGTGAGGTGGCCAGCGAGGGAGGACGGCGAGGCGGCCGGCGCCGGATCAGGCCGGCAAGAGGCCGGCGGCCGTCGCCCGAGGCCGGGCAACCCTCGGCGAGGGTCGCGGGACCTAGGCGGCGTCGCCCGGGTCGCGCGACCTCAGCGACGCCGCCCGGGTCTCGCGACCCAGCGGACCCAGCGGCGTCGCCCGAGGTCGCGCGACCCGGCGACCGCCGCCCGGGTCGCGCGACTCAGCGGCCGCTGGGTCCCGCGACCCTCGCCGAGGGTCGCCCGGCCTCGAGCGACAGCTGCCGGCCCCAGATCTGGCCCGCCGGCGGTCGGCCGACCTCAGGCGACGGCCGCCGGCGCCAGATCTGGTTCGCCGGCCGGCGCCGGCTCCGGCGAAGGGTAAGTAAGGTTTTTTCTTCCCAAAGTCCATTTGCAAAAAAAATTCACCAAACACTATATTTTGGCCAAAGTAGCTTTACAAAATATTTTTACCAAACACCATTTGCATTTCCCCAATGGGCTTTCACCCAAAGGTATTTGCATTCTCCCAAGTAGCATTTTCAAAGTTGAACCAAACAGGCCCTAAGTGCGTGCGTGAGGGAGAACCGTCTAACTCGCTAGGCTTGATTTCGTTATATACACATAAAGTATAACATCACCTTGATGGTGGCATCAATATGCAAAAGATCATATACTCTCATCGATCAAAAGGTATATATACTTTTGCAAATCATAAATGAAGACAAAATGATTGTTTACATGTCAAAACCACAAAAGTGATAAATGGTAGGTGTGTCAAGACCAAACACTATACTCAAATCGAAGCACGAACTGTCCCGAACCGGCCCGAAATCATAAGGTATATTCGGTTCGGGTCTTACTATGTTCGGATACCCAGTTATAAAATAAGTATTGTGATATGTTTCGGTTCAGGTCTTATTTACCAACGCTTTTAAATTTACCAATTTTTGTTTGTTGACTCACCGACTTTATTTCCTACCGAGGAATCTAAAAGAACAAACAAATAAAGGGAAAAGTGTCAAAAAAGTCATAAACCTTTTGCATTGGTGCCAATTTAGTCCTAAACCTTTTTTTAGTGCCAATTCAGTCCTAGACCTTTTACATATGTGCCAATTTAGTCCTAAACCTTTTTTTAGTGCCAATTCAGTCCTAAACCTTTCGCATTGGTGCCAATTCAGTTCTAAACCTTTTGAATTTGTTCTAATTGAGTCCTAAACCTTTTTTGGTGCCAATTGAGTCCTAAACCTTTTGCATTGGTGCCAATTCAGTCCTAAACCTTTTGCATTTGTGCCAATTCAGCCCTAAACCTTTTTGAGCTAAATTAACTGGAAGGACTGAATTGGCACAAATACAAAAGATTTAGGAATGAATTGGCACCAATGCAAAAGGTTTAGGACTGAATTGGCATAAAAAAAAGGTTTAGGACTCAATTGGCACCAATGCAAAAGGTTTAGGACTGAATTGGTACTAATACAAAAGGTTTATGACTGAATTGGCACCAAAAAAAGGTTTAGGACTCAATTGACACCAATGCAAAAGGTTTATGACTGAATTGGCACTAAAAAAAGGTTTATGACTAAATTGGCACAAATACAAAATATTTAGGACTTTTTTGACACTTCTCCCAACAAATAAACGTTGGTAACTTACTTACATAAGAGTTAGTAACTTGAAATTAGTTGATGAATTAATTGAAGAAAAGTTGAATTGCGTAAATTAGAATTAGTAATTTCATATGAAAATCGATAACTAAGAAACTCAACTGTTGACACGTAAGTCCACATATGATTTTTATAATTTTGTGAAATTCAAATAAAATTTGGAATTTGGGCAGGCCTATTGACTCTCATTTAGCTCCAAAACGCACAAGCGTTTCGAATGATTGAGATAACTTAGAGTGATAAATGCATTGAAAAATCTAAAACTTATTAAGAAAGAGTAATTAAGTTCTAAAACTTTCAAAAAATGCAATAAAATCCTGAAATTTGTCAAATTGGTTCAATCAAGTCCTTCCATTTATTACATTTTTTGAAAGTTTTAGGATTCGTTTAAACTTTCTTGACAAGTTTAGGACTCGATTGCACTTTTCGATAGTTTTAGAACTCGATTGCACTTTCATGACAAATTTTGAGACTCAATTGCACTTTTTGAAAGTTTTATGACTCAATTGTACTTTCATAACAAGTTTTAGAACTTTCAGTACACTAATCCCTAACTTATATATATGCAGCCTGAAGTGCTTGGGCTATGGTAAACCTATTTGTCGGAAATTTTTATGGTACCAAACAATGGAAGGCTTCGTTTTCCACGCCGCAGTGACGTTGCTTGCGAGGATCCAGCAACGTTGCTCGATGGTCACGAGAGTGAGGGAGAGTCTCCGGGGCTGAACAAGCCAATGAAGTCGAGTGAAAACAAAGCTTTCCATGTTTGGTCCAAGAAGAAAACAACGGCCTTGAGGGAGAAATCAGTGATGTTGCTAGCGGGGTGGACACCAAATTTTATTTGGTGCAAGAAGAAAATTAAGGGTGCGTTCGTTTCGCAAAAAATGAGTAATTTGAAAAACATTTTCCGAAAAATGATTGTTTGTATTGTTTAGAAAAATAAACGAATGGAAAATTTTCATTGCCCACGAAAATAGTTAAGCATAAATTGTTATCGATGATGAAAGCATCTTCTGGTGACTAATTTTTATAAACAATATAAATAATCATTTTTCGGAAAATATATTCCAAATCACTTATTTTTCACAAAATCCTAAAATGAGTAATATCAGTAAAAGATCTCGAAAGCTCTAAAGACGGCACAGATATAAATAAAATCACAATCTCGTTTGGTGCAAAATGAAGCTTTCCATTGTTTGGTGCAAGAAGAAAAACGAGCCAATGACATACAATTTTCATTAACCATCACCCCGTGAGCAACATCATTGCGGGCGGCCACAGTTGAAGAAATAGCAAACGGTCCATCGGAGATCGACACTTCTCGCTCATCCAAGACCCACTGAGGCGGTGCCACCGTTCATCGGAGATTATGACAATCAACCGTGGCCGTGGCAACTGTCGATAACATCCTCATGCTCGGATTTCATCGTTTGGATGGCACTTCTTAATTGATAGGGTTTGTATTGGGTCTCTATTATGCACGAGCATGACTCGATGTTTCGACAAGGAGGACAAATTAGTCATGATGAATTCTATCATATAATGCCCTATAACACTCGGCAATGTCCCTTACCAAAAAAAAAACACTCGGCAATGTTGACACGATGTCATCCTTTCAATCGAGTATCTTTCTTTATCGTGCTTGTTTTTTTCACATTTGTCCCAATTATCGCATCAACCAACGTAAGACGGGATTTGAGAAAGGGGAATTAACTATGGAGGAAAGTTGAAAGATCAATTTCATTATTTATATTTGCCGAAGGCTCCCGGCATGAGCCGTACAAGAAGTCTACTTGAAGGTCTGGGAGCATAATCAAAAAGTCACAAATCATTTATTTGATATCACAATCATCTACACCCGGTGTAGGTGAGACTTAGCAATGTGACCATTCCCTCCCTTAGGATAGAATCCTCCCGGGACGCTTGCGTCGCCGCTCCCGTACACGATCCTCAGTATCTCCTCCGGCGTCCGGTCGTAGGCAACCGAGTACTTGTCGCCCGCGAGCACGTTCCCCTCGACCTTCCCCTCGGCGCCTTGGTGGCGGAGCACGACGAGGCCCTCATCCTTATGCCCGTCGTGCCCAAGTTTGTCCCTCAGCTCCGAGAACCGGTTCGTGAACTCCGCTACGGTTTTCCCGTACGGCTCGACCTTCAAGTGGGCCCGCTCGTACAGAAGGGCTCGGATCACCGCGTCCTGACCCGATTCCACGCCGAGAAGGCCCGCGACAAGCTGAAAATGCGTGCACAAGACGGGCACAAGGATTCATAGGTAGCTCACTAAAATTTGACAAAGTAAATGACTAGTGAGATTGTTTGCCATACCCTTTTGGAGACAGGGCCATGAAGCTTGGGGTTTGCTCCAACGTAGCCTGTGAGGCCAACGTAAGGGACCAGGTAGGAGGCAAGCAAGAAGTTGATTTCATTGGCATACGGGTCAAATGGAGGCTTCAAAGCATGCCCGAATGCTTTGTCCACCACTGCGGCAAATGAATCCGCAGACAAATTCAGCAGTGGCCTTGGAAACCCCTTCACTGTCTTCTTGATTGCCCTGCATTGATTTAAAGCAAAAATGGACAGTGTGATTTGGTCATCAGTAAGTGAAAATTTCCCACCATGATGATGGAGAGTTGTTCTAGATGGGTTAAATGTGTGGGCAAGAATTAGCCTCAGGCATAAAAGAATGCCTAAAATCTAGTGAGAATGACCATCAAAGTTTGGAAAATAATTGACAAGAAAGAAAGATAAGGTCTTTCTTTTTTGGGCACTCCAATATCAAACCATATGACATCTCTAATGAAAGGACTCACTTCAAGTGACCAACTTCTTGGTAAGCAAATTGCAAGATGATATCCTTGATGAGAGGACCCAATTTGGCAGCCTTAGCTCCGACTGGCGATGGGCCTCCCGCGGTCAAGTTCGGGGCCACCTTGTCCAATCCATACCCCAACGAGGCATGCAAGAAGAGCTCCGCCTCAAAGTACTCCAGATTCAGGGGAAACTCCAGCAGATCCACGTCGGACTTCGGGACTTTGTGATGGTGATGGTGATGGGACTCGAGGTCCGCGCAGTTCGAGCTCGGGACGACGAGGAGGAGGAGGGAGAAGAAGAGAGCCGTCGAGGTGGTGGCGACGATGAAGTTGGTGGATGCCATGGCTAAGCTTTGGTCGTTTGTTCTTATCAGTGTTCGTGTTGTGTGCATACGTATATATAAGGTGTACCGGGTCATGCATTTATGGCATGGCATTTGCGATTAGGCGAAGGAGGAAAAAGTGGATACGATGCCTAGTCAAAGAACTAAGGATTGCAACGTGGGGTTTTGGGAGGGAAATTAGGAAGGTGTCGTGTTTTTTTCCTTGTGTCTTTGGTTTGAATTGGAAATTGTCTCTGCATGTGCATGTGGCTTTTTGCTATTTTGGGTAGTTTCTTTTCTCTTGGAAAATAAGGATAATTTATTTTTGGCAAGAAAAATCTAAAGATTATGAATTCGTGATACGGCAAGGCTAGGTTCAATGAATCAGCTAAACTTTGCTCCTAGACACTTATTTAAGATATATTCATTTCTTCATTACATTTGGATTGGAAAAACATGTACATAACGCCGGCTCGTATCTCTATTTAGTGCAAATGATCGCAATCCTTATAGTTAATTTTGCGCTAACATTGACTTAGGGAAAAAAAAAATACGACCTACTACGAAGTTAATAACTAATGATAGGATGATTTTGTGATTAACGTATGGAATACCTTCATAGAATATCATGAGTCAAGGGTGCGCTTGATATTTAAAAATGAGATAATGACACAAACAGACTCTGAACTTTGGCCCAATATGCAATTTGATCTCTGAACTTTTAATTTGTTCAATGTAGTCTCTGAACTTTAGATTAATGTTCAATGTGGTCCATGAACTTTTAATTTGTTCAATGTTATCTATGAACTTTTGGTACATATTCAATTCAATCCTTGAACTCTATGAAAATGTTCAATATAGTCCCTAAACTTGAATTAATAGAAAGGACTGCATTGAACATTCTTATATAGTTCAGGGACTGAATCAAACATGTACCAAAAGTTTAGGAATGACATTGAACAAATTAAAAGTTTAGGGATCAAATTGCACATTGGGCCAAAGTTTAAGGACTGTTTGTGTCATTTTCCCTATAAAAATTGAAGTGTTAAAAGTTGCCAAATGCATGGCTAGGATTAAATTCAAATACGTTGTCTTGCAATGCAGGCCATGACCCTTCACTAAATTTGAGATAATTATATTGGCAAAAAAATATTTTTGTTCAAAATATTGGCAAATTAATTTATAACAAAATATCTGATTCTAAGGCCAAGTGGAGTAAGCAATAAGGAATTTCCCTTTATACATTTAAATTTTGTTGGCAATATATCATATCTTTGTCATTTTGGATTCGTTAATCTTCATATAATTACGCAATAGAAACGGAAACAATGACAATGCCTAAACTCGTTGTCATTGTAAAGCTCTAGAGACACAAAGAAATCTCTCTCTTTTATGATTAAGCAATAATTTCAGTGGACATGGGCGGTGCTATTTCCATCTTTTACATGACTAAATTTACCCAATTTTTAACAATTTTACCATAAAGACAAAATTTCTCTCAATAATTCAATTGCAATGAAAAGTGGTGCCTTCAAATTTATTTGCTTTCCATTCTATATTGGATTTAATTACCGAAAAGACAATACTCCCAAGTATATTAAAAGGCACTATATTTTTTTAATTGTTAGATTTGACTTCCATAAAAATTGGTTTTTGTTGAAAAGAGAGATTTCCAAAAAACTTAGTTCTTTTCAACGTTACCGATCAAATTTATGGATAAATTGTCGAGTAAAATCTAGAAATAATTTAAGGGAGAAAATTTTTTAGCACAATCATTTGTTTATAAATTTTCACTTTTGTTGTGCATATTACCATCAAATCTCGTCTTCTCGTTCTTCTTATATATATATAATGAGATTTCATCCCCCCCCAAAAAAAAACACAAGACCTAAAAGAAGTCCATCCATAGTAAAAAAAAAGTTCATATAACCACTTTCCATCATGTTTTCTCCAGATGTTATTTTTTTTATTTTAAAATAAGCGCATCAAAAGTCTTAGAATTTATAATGCGGAAGTACAATCAAGTTCTAAAACTCGTTAAATTGATGTTATCATGGATCTTTGTCAACATTTCCCATCACTCAAATTGGATGGAACTAACAAAAGTATTTGGTTGCATTAATTGGATAAGTTTTGAAATTTGATTGCACTTTTTAAAAGTTTTTGTACTTAATTGCACTTTGTTGACATGTTATAGAACTTTCATCCACTTATGTTTTCTACTCTCTTTTTTTATTCTTGAAGTGGCTCTTATCTTATCAATGGTTAATCTCCCTTCCTTCTTATTAATTATTTATAATTTTCTCCATTTCCAATAAAATTACCGTTGACCCCTTATTGACACCAGGCCCAAACAGAAAGAAGTTAATGGCTCAAACGAGGTCGTGACAAATGCACATAACCAATAGGGGCCCAATCGATAGGATGCCTAACAAATTCATCAATCATGAAGGCCACAACAATACAATTAACCCACAAGGCCCACTGATCTTGAGGAGCTCATCGATCATGTTGTTCCAATAGACAGATTTTTAGTGAAGTACATGACATGTGGCCACGATCGATTGACTCGAAGTATGCATATTGACCATGGATGACTGTAGCTAAGGAATCGAGAGCGATTACGAGTTATTCCAAAAGTAGCATGCAAGTTAAGACATTTAGAGATTCTTGGAAATAAAGATCAGGACGTATTATGGAATGATGCATAAAAGATTTGTGAGCAAATACAAATCATCCCTAAAGTATTGTGCAAGTTAAGACATTTAGAGATTCTTGTGGGAAAAGATCAAGACGCCTAACTAAATGACTCGTGAAAAACACTAGGGCTGCGTTTGGTCGACCGGATAAAAGCCAGGATAAGATATGTTTTATCCTATCCTATGTTTGGTGGTGGTCCATGATAGGATAAGATCGGATATAGACCGGATATAGCCCGGATAAAAAAATCCGAGGGGGGGATGGGATAGACCTGGATAGGATTTCTAATGTCTATTTTTCCAGAAACCCTACTCTCCACTCACCGTCATCTTCATCCCCACACCTTGTGCGCTTTCACCAAAAAAATTTCTCGGCTTTTTTTCCTTCACCGACTCCTCCGGACCCGTGAATAGCAAAAAAAAAAAAAATTTATCTTATCCGACTTTAAATCCGTAGTCCACCAAACAGTGGATAGGATATGAAGAAATCCCAAGATTTCTTATCCTCCAGTCCTATCCTGTTTAGAAATCCGGACGACCAAACGCAGCCTAAACGAATAAAAGTAAAGACGCGCGCATACTCAGATAATACAAATGTGCAATAATCACACAATATCAATCAAGATATCAAAAATCATGCATAGCACATGACATTCGGAAGCAGAGAAGATCAGTCACGACAGATCGATTTGGATTAGGTTTTGTCCAAGTTTGAATTTCAAGTTCAGATTTTATTAGGATTCCAAGTTTCAGTACTCATCTTCGATTAAAAAAGCTTTCCAGTCATATTCTGTAAGCTTTTCACTGTCCCTTCACACTTCGGTCATCTCCATGAAGAAGTTTTTGTTCAAATGTACTAATCGAGCATGTAATCGAACTCAAGAATGTAAGCCATCCGTTCTGATTCACCAAAGTTCCGTGTAATGATTTCCTTATTTGTTTCCAATCTACTGTACGAGCATTATTTTAGTAGTTCGAATTTTACAAAGTCCTTGAGACTTTCGAGGCATTTTAAAATCCATTTACTTTTGATCTGAAGTCAATATAATTCTTTAATCGGGCACCGACCATCCTTGATTAGACTTAAAACATTTAAACATGTAACTTTTTCGAATTATGTATTGCCGTTCTCAACTTAAGTAGTATTTACGAGATACAATAGAGCAATTCCCTCATTTAGTTCTTCTATGTCGGTATCAGCTTAGCAGAATAGAATTATATGAGTTCTGTGGGGATCATACCGTCAAAAATGAAGCGTTAAAAGTTGCCAAACGCATGCCTAGTTGCCTAGGATTAAAGAAGAGCATATCCAGTTTTTAAAATTTAGGTCTCTACTGAAAAAAAAAATCCAAGATTTGATTCTCGCCATTTTAGCATTGTAGAGAAGCATGATTAATGCGGTGATAGTATGCATCAACAAGACACACACTATACTAGCGTACATAGTTCGTGCGAGGACAAAATTTTAATTCAAAAATCTTGGTTTTAGAGCAAGAAAGAGGGGCCAAATTATTTTCGATAATGAAAATATTTTTTATTGACTAATTATTTCAAGTTATATCAACTCTTTATGTTTTTTTAGGGCGATGCGTATTTAGGCATCATTTATCACTTATAAAAATGAACGAACGGAAAAATATTTTTATCATCCACGAAGATGTCTGTGTATACATTGTCATCGATAATGAAAATATTTTCATTAACTAATTATTTCAAGCGATACCAACGATTAATTTCATGGAAGTTTATTCCAAGACATTCATTTTTCGAGAAGTATAAGCACATCTTGATCCTCAAACCGGAAAGATCCCGATTCGTTCGAAAGAAAACGGACAAAAAAGTCATTTTCACGGGGAAATATAAAGATTAAAAAAAAAATTGGCTGAATCATTTGTTGTCATAATTCAAGAAAACATTCCCTTTTTTCTATTCTTAAACATTTTTTTTTTCACCTAAAGCCTTGGAATATCCTAAGCCACGAAGATGCTCTTGGCCCTAAACGTTTGTCCACTCGAATATCCCCACTTATCTTAATCCTGTTTTAGCTCCATCTTCTATAATTCCTAATTTTCAAATTTGGGGTCATTTGCATTTCGCTTTCATGAGATCGGCCGCCCAAAATTTCGGCATGACAATGACTTGGGCCATAGAAGGACTCTACCCGATCGGCGATCATTATCAGATGAAAAAAACAGGATTCCTTGACCCCGTCAGAGTCGGATTCGAGTTCTCTTTGATCTCTCGTAATATGTAGGGACGAGACGGTCGGAATAGGCGGGGTTTCCCCCGATCGGCGGCGACTTCTCCTTGCTCCGGCCCACACGGTCCAACGCGTCGCGTGCGTCGAGCTTTATGTGCTCCGGACGCATCCAATTCGTTATGCATTTGAACTTCCGTCGTTCGTTCGAATTTGCTTCTTTTGAGAAGTCCGCCCTTCTTTTATGGCTAACTATCTCACTTGATTGAGGCGTGATACGGGCATGTCATCCGACATTCTTACGCAGGAGTTCGGAACTCTTGACGGCCTCTCTAATGATTACGAGAAAACAAAGACCGTCTAATTTCCTTTAAAAAAATATCAATTTTAAGTTGAGTCTCAATTCTAATCTGGTAGTTTTTTTTTTTAATGTCTCGTAAAAAAATATTAACTTTGAATTAGTACTCAAAAAATCTAACTTAGTCAAGTTTCTGTCTAACGATGCCATTAAAGATACGATGACGTGTATACCTCTCTCTATCCCTTCACGTGTCATTCCTCATCGTCTTTATTTTGTTGTTCGTTTTTCTTTTTCCTGTTTTTTTTTTGGCCCTTTCATCTTCTTCAACCCCCCAATACGACCTCAAAGAACTCCTTCGTCGCGAAGAAAAGCAATCATAACATATCAAAACACTGCCCGATTTGACACCCGATAAGCAAAACCTCGTGCTCTCGAAACACGCCAGAGCCGGATCTCAAAACTTCCGCCCAAGAGATCATTTCGAAAGGACAATAAGGGAAAAGAAAAAACAAAGACAATTCAGAATCATTTGCGAAGGGAGAGAGATGTACACGTGAATCACACGTCAAACGAAAACTTGACGGGGCACGATTCAGGTAGCCATTCAAAATTGATGTTGTTTTTTATGAAAAAAAAAAGGTTTGAATTAGAGCCGACTTATATAATTGGTGCTTTTTAAAGTAGATCCACCAACAATCTCGTTGGATTTGGCCTGATCTCGAGCCCTCCCAGGTCTGGGTACATCTACGAATTTTACATTTGTCCGACTGCATGAAAAATGAGTTAGTAAAGATAAAAACAGATAACAATAGGCGAAAATGCAGCACATTGAAGTCTGTATAACTTGTGTACGGCGATCACTTTGGTGCCATAACTTTTTTTGGATCACTTTGGTGCCAAGTCGGAACAAAAGAGATCATTTTAGTGCCAATTTGGCCGGAAATCCGACGTAGCATTTTTTATTAATTTTTTACGCCGACGTGGCTCGCCGGAGGCTGAGTCAGCGTGTACAGTCAGCATTTTTTTTTAAATAATTTTTTTTAGCGTGTACAGTCAGCATTTTTAATTTTAAATATTTTTTTCCTTTTTTTTTCTTCTTTCCTTTTTCTTTTCTTTTCTTTTCTCCCCTCACCGGCGAAGCCCAGGAAGGGCTGGGCGAGGGCGGCCTTGCCCATGGCCGGCCCAGGCGAGGCCTGCCCTCGCCCAACGCCGGCGAGGGCGACCCTCGCCAGATCCGGTGAGGGCGACCCTCTCCCGCCCAGGCGAGGGCTTCCCTCGCCCGACGCCGGCGATGGTCGCCCTCATTGGATCCCGGCGAGGGCGACCTCGCCGCCGGCGTCGGGCGACCCTCGCCGACGTCCGGGCGAGGGCGGCCTCGCTGGGCCGGCCTCGCTGTCGCCGGCGAGGTCGGCCGCCCCTCGCCGGCCATGGGCAAGGCCGCCCTCACCCAGCCCTTCCCGGGCTTCGCCGATGGCCGGCCGGCCACCGGCGACCGGCCGGCGAGGGGAGAAAAGAAAAAAAAGAAAAAAAAAGAAAAAGGAAAGAAGAAAAAAAAAAGGAAAAAAAATATTTAAAAATAAAAATGCTGACTGTACACGCTGAAAAAAAATTATTTTAAAAAAAATGCTGACTGTACATGCTGACTCAGCCTCCGGCGAGCCACGTCGGCGTCAAAAATTAATAAAAAATGCCACGTCGGATTTCCAGCCAAATTGGCACTAAAGTGATCTCTTTTGTTCCGACTTGGCACCAAAGTGATCCGAAAAAAATTTATGGCACCAAAGTGATCGCTGTACACAAGTTATGGCACTTGTAGTGTACTTTGGCAGATGTTACAAGATTTAAAGGCTATGATGAATTAGGCCTAAAGTTAGGGGTAATCGATTTCCGAATGAGTTGGGCCGATTCCACCCTAGAATCAGGAATTGAATCGGGCTGGTTGATCCTAGGTCGGTTCTCGATAGGGATAATAAGTTTCCGATCGGTATGGTTCCAAGGTGAAATAGCGAATCGGAATGGGAGGATCGGTTCCTAAAATTGGGTATTGGGGACTGGATCAGACTATGGTCCAGTTCCAGTCCGATCTAATGGAAACGGTCACTTAAATTTTAATTCACATTTCAATGAATTTATGTCGATGAAGTTCACTTAAGATTTAATTCACATTTTACTAATTTTTTTGAAGAAATAAAAAGAAAAGTATATGTAGTCGATCTGATCCGGTTCCCTCTTAGAACCGAGAACCGAACTGCCAAGACACCGGCTCTACTCTTAAGAACTTGGAACCGGAGCCAATCGACCTATTTGGTCTGGTCCAGGCGGTTCCCAATTTGGGCTGTTCATTTTTCACACCCCTAGTTCTTGGTTGGACCGGTCCAATTTAGGGTTTTAGCAATTTCCTTTTCCTTACTCTTTAAAAAAAAGGAAAAGTTAAAAAAGAAGAACATATCGGTCCGGGTGGTTCGGTTCCGCACCTGAAATCAAGAACCGGACCAGCTCCCACAGTAACCGCTCAAATCCGGTCGGGTTTCCGTGCACACCCCTACGGGGATCCCCAGATAATAACTCTAAAATACGGACCATAGTCAACATAAAAAAAAAAAAGAAAAAAGAAGCGTATAAATGATCACGCATCATCATTACATTACAACCCCCTCCAATACGTACACAAATTTAACTCTCGCATCCAAAATTCAAAATCCAAAGCACCAAGCCAACACCATCGTCCCAAATAAAGGCAAGAGCCACCATAGTCATCATCATCACCACTCCGTCCACGTACGTAACCTTCCCCTCATCTCCCACCACCACCTCCAGGCTCCATCTCCATCTCCATCTCCATCTTCTTCCTCAAGGAGAATGGCTCTTCCCACGGAAGAGATGAAGACCAAGGCCGAGGTGTACCACGGCGACGAGATCTGCCGCGAGAAGCTGAACCTCCTCCTGGCGGAGATCGGCCTCCCCAACGGCCTCGTCACGGCGTCCCAGGAGATCGAGGAGTACGGCTTCGTCAAGGCCGTGGGGCTGGTGTGGCTCAAGCACCGGAAGAAGGCCGAGCAGAAGGTGGCCGACAATGTGGTCGTCTCCTACGACACCGTGGTGTCGGCCTACGTCGAGCCCCACCGGATCCGCAAGCTCCGCGGGGTGAAGGCCAAGGAGTTCCTCAACGTCTGGGTGAAGCTGAGCGAGATCCACGTCAACGACGGCGATGCGGGCGGCAAGCCCGCCACCGCCGAGCTCATGATCACGTTCAAGACCCCGGTGGGGCTCTCCCGGTCGTTCCCGGTCTCGGCGTTCGAATAGCGCCGGCGCCGGAGGTGGTGACAATTGGTTGGAACAGGGGGCCAAAAACGCAAAAGTATTGAATTGTTGCTAATTTGTACAAAAAGAAGGTACCCAATAACACTATTATCTCTAATTTGATTTATTTAAAAAGATTTTTGCTGCCCTGTTTCTATTTATTTTGTACATTTATACCCAAATGACCGGTTCCTCAAATTGATATATTAATTTAGTGAATTGGATTATAGAATGCGGTGATTAATTTTAATTAGCAATTAAATAATAGACCATAAAAAAGAGATTAGGGAGAAGCTTTTTCCTTAGCTAGGGGGGTTTCCTAGAAGATGCGACCCCAAGGAAAGAATATGCTTTTAATTTAGAAATGTCACTCCTTTTGTTCTCTTCTCCACGCAACCTTTCAAGGAGAACCGTACGTTGAGCGTGCGCGTCAATCCATGTTGTGTTGCAAGCAGTGACGCTAAGGAAGTCGCTAGGACAGATCGTTTTCGCCCGTTCGTTTTCTCGGCGGAACCACTAAGATCCAATTTAGGAACTGTCAATTCGACTTTAGCATATTCCAGTAAGTTCGCGTAAATTTCGCATCAAGATTAACATCGGCCTCGCTGTTTCTTCTCGCACACAAGCTGGGAGATGTCGATAGTCGGTCCAACGTGGTCGGTGTGTAGAGTGAATTTACGCTTATGTGAGATTTGGTTTCGTTAGCTGTGGTTTATACTCAACGAGAATTTGCATCGAACAATATCTGGCCAGGGGCAATGGACCCCGCTAGCCCTCTTGCTCCGTTGTTGGTTGTGAAAACGGCCAGGTCGATAAGATTTTGCCTAACAGTCGGAACCAGCCTGAGTAGAGTTCCTACTCTGTGACCGGGAAATATGTGTCCGAGATCGGGGCAGTACGTTCTTTCGCCCTCACACTTGCATTCCCCAGCTATACTGAAAAGAAAAGGGAGTGCAAAGAAAGGAGTCAGATCAACATATAGCCTCGTAAATGCAAGTGACATGCCATCCAAAGAGCAAGGTTGAACAGAGGACAAAGGTTTGATTGAGGAGAAGTTAAAGCACTTGTGCAACGTGCACATCGGTATTCAGATGCATAACACGCGGCGATCTCGGCACAGCTATGCCGTATGATCGCCAACCAGACCTATACATATTCAGTATTCCAATTTGACTGCTTTGATGCACTCCAAGAACCAACATCAACAACACAGGGGACCACCAAATGTAACATTTAGCTAAACTGTAATTCGAAAGCTCACTAATCTGCCACATTGACCGTCAACTGCCTGAGACACTAGCCGGATTCAATGGATCAAGTTGCAGCCATACAGAACTTTCTACGAGAACTAGACATATTCACAATCTGTACTGAGCTAGGAGCCTATACGTAATCAACCTTCAAAACAGGACCAGCGAACGGAAGAAGCTAACCATAGGAGTCGGCCATTGCAAGATGTGGACAACAGCATCATGTGGGACCAAGCAATGAGTCAGAAGTAAACTTACGATTGAAGCAGAGGCCAGAAGTTACTGCACAGTCGACTGCTTCAAACAGAATTACGACCCTGGAAAAAGAAATGAACCAAGAACCACATCTTAAGGTCATCATTTTCCAAAAAACACCACAAACAGATGCAGTGAGCTACTGGTGCTTATATAGAGCAACTACAACAGATGCCTGAATTTTTTGACGAAGTCGCACAAGATAAAACTAAAAAGTTTAGAGTCCGATCTACCCATAATCAACTTATTGAAATTTATTTATGATATATATCGAACGTAGCATGCTCTCTCTGTATCAAAGAATTAAATGTTCAGAGGAGCTGTAGTTCATCATACCCTGGAAGTAATAACCCATCGACCACCAATCCATTCTTGATGAGGTCTAAGATCCTGATGTTCAAATTCCAATTCCTCACTCGATGTTATAAAGTAGACTTTGTACTTCAAGCCCCCAAGAATTTGGGAAATATGACCTACCCACCAGCCCTCATTATACCAAGCATCAACCATTTCGTGCCGCACAAAAGTATGTACACGTTCAATGTCAGGGGGAAAAGGCCTTATATGTGAACTCTCTGCTACTTCTTTAAGGAATGCGGTTTCATCATCTGTTTTCAAAGTCTGATACTCAACCAAAAACTTGTCTCCAATAGTATCAATGATCACTGCAGTGTACCAAGAGCCCCAACAACCATCTTCATCGCTTCTCACCTCCACTTTCATTCCCTTACCGAATTTCACGTTTCTATTCGTTTTGCCATACTCCGTGTTACCCCTGAAACTTGGCATTCGCGATGCCACCTCAGTAGAGTTATCCTACATTTTGACATTCCAAAGTTAGAAACACGGAAAGAAAGGATGACGACTAAGTGAAATCATTTGGCAGCAATCATTTGCCATACACGACTACCAATGCTGTTATCCATCAAGCAAAGGGTTGTTTGCTTATTTCGTCTCTGAGCACACGCATTTCATGCAGCAGCTTGAATACATATGTTTTTACTTGATACCAGTCATATATTTAATCCTAGATAGAGTAACCAATATGAAACTGGTTATGCTTTGTTGCGATCACTTCGTGACTTAACTTTCATTTCCAAAGATAAAACTATTATTCAAATAATGGAGGTTTAGGTGTTAAATACTTATTTATATCCACCGAACAAATACACCGTAATTTATTGAATGCACGAGAAGAAAGCTAGAGTTTATGTGGATAACATTATGATGTAGCATTTATCGAGCATGAGGCTTATCGACAGGTGTAACTTTCTACTGCATGACCTGGATTCCACACATACAAGCTTCATATTTCACTCTTCCAGCAAAAAATATTTGATTACTTCAAGATAATGAAAAGCAAGAAAGTTAACCAATAACATGGAATGACACTGCAATTGCAATGAATCTCTTTTCAAGAACCCATTAGCTACATGGTTGTCCTGGAGAAGCAAGTCAATCTTTTTAAGCAACTGATTAAGTGTTACAATTAAATAAAGGAATCTGGTTTTTGAATTTGAAGACTTATAAACTCAGATTGGGAAAACATGGTACAACTGCTATATAAAATACTGTCCAGTTCATCAGATGTCATTGGCTAGCACCAATTTGCATCAAAGTAATAATCCGATATATGGTATGACTGATTAAGTGATCCTCCAAACTTGTACCATTATACTCGGTCAATGCAAAGATTACATCCAAAACAGAAAGAGCTCCAGCTTCTCCATATATATATCTAATTTAAAACAAACAACCAGAACTTTTACCAAAATGAAATCACGAATTTGACACCATCAAGAACTCCTTATGGATAGCATTCTCCATGCAATCAATCAAAGTTACCGAAAGTTATTCACAAAATTGCCGTTCACTGTCAAGCAAATGAAAAAACTGATGCCAACAGTGCATGAGTCGCGGTTCTCTTTTTGGGGGTAGGGGTTGTTTCGCCGGGAATGTAACAAAAGCATGAACCTGAATGACAGAACTTCACCAAAACAATTCGTCACAAATATTAGAAGCAACTGTAGTTCCTACCCGGGAAGCAATGACCCACTTGCCATCAATCCAGTCCTGGTGAAGCCTCAGATTAGACATATTGAAAATTAGTTCTTCATGGGTTGTGCTGAAGTAGACAACATACTGGGAGCCATTTAGAACTTTGGAAATTACACCGACCCACCATCCGTCATTGTACCAAGCATCAACTTTGTCAAGCTGCTCGAAACATTTGGCTGCAAGATGAGGAGGGAAGGGCCTGATGTACCGTGAATATGCTTCTTCCCTCAAAGGTTCAGTTTCGTCGTCTGTTTTCAAGGTTAGGTATTCGACCAGATACTTGTCATTTCCTATATAGTCAACGATAATTGCGGAAAACCAAGAACCTTCATAACCTTTTTCGTCACTTCTGACCTCCACGGTTATACCCTTTCCAAACTCTGGGGGTGGCAATGATGTCCTCTTATCGAGTCTCATCTTGAATCTTATCTTGCGAGACTTTAACTCCATCGTAGATGATTTCTCCTGCAAGTCAATTTTCAAGAACTACCAATGCGTTAGAAGGAGGACAGCAAAAATATAGAAGATCCTCAATGCTAGATCTAACTGAGCATATGGAGTCATTCAGCCGCTAAAGATACATATATAACTTGCCAGCACGTGCTGGCTGGCTAATGCCAACGGAGGCCAGAGGTAACGACGCTTCGGTAACATTACCTAACCAAAGTCAAGAAAATAATATCAGATCGACATATATCGAAAAGATCACTTCAAATTTATCCATGCCAAAGCCCGAGAACACCTCCGAACTGACTTTGTCACACCACCAAAAATTTTCCCCTCCTTTTCGCAGGCTCGCAGCTACTCCTCGATCTTGCAAGCTCACACTCATCTAAATTGCAAATGCGAAACAAAAACCCAACCAGGGCATCCACTATCTTACTACTCACAGAGAAGCTTGATAGACCATTTGTCAACCGCAGCATTAACAATTTGGCCTCCAAAATCATTCCAGCCCGCGAAAAGCATGAATCCTCACGACAAGAGGCGACGAAAACAACACGATATTACCGCGAATAACTTTCAAAAGAAAGAAATGACGTTCACCTCTGCTGAACGGAGAACTTACAACAGTCATCAACTATTCTCCACCATCAGCCCATCTACGGGCTAAGCAACGCCAACAACGAGAAGAAACAGAAAGACAGAAAGGAAGTCCCACGAGGCATCTCACCCGCTTCTCATCGCCGGCGAAGGGCGGGCTCCAAACCCCATCGCCGCTCCACTCGCGATGACGCCTCAACTCCCACTGCCCGAACTCCACCTCCTCCCTCCCGCCTCCCACCGCGACCAGATACTTGGAGTCCTCCCGAATCTCCCTGATGACGCCGAAATGCCACCCTTTCTCCCGATAGGCGTCCACCTCCTCCCCTACCCGGAAACGCTCGTGCAGCTCCCGCGGCGGCGCGGGCCTCGCCCGGGCCAACTCCACGTACTCCCTCAGCCGCCGCCCCCGCTCGCCGCCGCCGCCGCCTCCGCCGCCGCGAGTGAGGGTGAGGTACTCGACGAAGACGAGATTCTTGGCGCGGGCGGGGGAACGGAGGACGGTGGCGGGGTAGAGGGCGAAGGGGAGGGCGGGGCCGTGGCCGTGGCCGTGGCCGGGGCCGGGGCCGGGGCCGGGGCGGAGGATCTCGACGCCGTCGCCCTTGGCGAAGGAGGGGAGCGACATTGGGAAGGTGGGCCAAAAGGGTCCTTGCGCAATGCGCATGCCCCGCCCCTAAGAAGAACCTGCGTGCGCCGAAGGGAGGGAGTGAAATGCTCGTGGGAGATGATCGAAAGGAGGAAGTGAGAGAGAGAGAGAGAGCGCGAGAAGTGGTTGATTAAACCCAAAACAGGTTTAATTAGGAGGTAATCTAACCTCCCCGTCTCTCTCTCTCTCTCTCTCGTCGAGTAGTGCTAGTGTTGGGAAAATGACACCCGTGGTCCCGGGGGTTTTGGCCTCATATGCAGTGTCGTCTAGTTCCTAGATTTTTGATTTGTTCGATGCGATCCCTAAGCTTTTGATAAATGCTCGATCTAGTCTATGGACTAATGTGAAATTGTTCGACGTCGTCCCCGGACTTTGAATTAATGGAAGGACGGCGTTCTGATACTTTCGTGCAGTTTAGGGACTGGATTGAATATTTTTACCGAAAGTTCGAGGACTATATTGAACAAATTAAAAATTTGGGGACGACATTGCACGTCGGGCTAAAGTTCAGGAACCGCGTTCAATAAATTAAAAGTTCGAGAACGATATTGTATATTGAATCAAAATTCATTGACCATTTGTGTTATCATTCCTACAATTTTTGTAACCCGTAGATTCTTTTTCTCGGGTTTTTTTTATACGGATTTTCCCTTTGAGATTTCCAAGAGAAGCATTTAAATTTTAAAAGATTTCGCCTCCCAAAAAAAGAAAGAAATTCTACATATGAATATTTAAATAAATGGATCTTAGTATGGGGTGGTTTGATGTTGATGCAAATTGATTAGTTTCGTACAATCGCAAGTGTCGTTGCGAGTACGGCACTATAAGACATGTATGCACGCCTTTTCATATTCGATAAAAGGTTCGTCGGTTGGTTGGGTTGTATATTTCGATTTGGTGGTGACATTTTGAAGACTATTTCGGTGTTTCGAGTTAGATTTAAATTAAAGACGCGAGTTTCGCAGAATTTTCAAACACAATCAAAGGTTTAAGAGTAGAAGTTCATATGACATAAATGGCATCGAGAAATTTATTAAGATGAGCCATTTCTGTATAGTATAAATATAGACATTTTTGTACAAGATGTTACGTAGAGGTGACCAAGGTTTATGATCTGGTCCATTCAAGTCCGATTCCAAAGAGAATCAAGTAGGTTCGCGAGTTCAAAATCCGGAAACCAGATGGGTTCGGTTCGATCCGTAGGTCGAGCCTTGAACCTACTAGTTTATACAAAAGAACTGAGTTGACTGAAAATGTATTGCCTTTTTGATAAGTTAACAACTCAAAATAAAGATAAAAAGAACTCGCAGAGACAAAGTCCGAACTAAAAAAAAAAAAATATCTAGTTTTCTAATATATTCCAAATTGTAAAGATGAAGGACAATTTTCCGGTTTTACACGAGAATTGGTAGGTTCAGTTCCAGGTCGGTATCAGGATAAACCAGTTTGTTTCTCGGTTCCTGCTCTGGAACCGAACCGTCCATATATTATGACACAATGTAAACCTATAGTATTTTATACAGAAACTATAAATGTGAATAGAAACATAGGAAATAGAGAGCTTTAGCCCTTTTGACTTCCTTTTTAGTGTTTTTAGAATGATATGTATAAAGTATTTTGGAGTTTGGTTTTTTTATAGTAATTTGAACATGGATTTGATGAGGTGGTTCAATTAAAAAAGAGTTTGATATATATTTTGGTTTATATATATATATATAATAAGAGTTTGATTTCTTGTACCATCAAGTTCATACAATATCGTATTTGGATCATTCATGTGAATTTCTGGCTCACATATTATTAGTTTATCCATGAGATTTGCCGGGCCTTATACTCTTACATAAGTTTGCATCTTATTTCGACATGACATGAGCTTGATTATAAGATTCATTACTGCTTCAATACATGAAAACCAATTCATGAATAATGTTCAAATCCACAATTGCATCTAAATCTCTTTATTTTTCGTCTAACTTCACAAACACACACAAAAAAGAAAAGAAAAATAAAATAAACACTCCAATCCCATCTCAACTGCAAAAGTACAATCATCATCACTTTTTTTTTTAAATAAGCGAAAATAAGATATTTATTATCTCTGCTCCCACAGGAAAAATAAAAAGAAAGCAAAAAAAATTAAAATAAAAAGATTTATCTCTGCTTGGGGAGATCTTGACCAGTCAAGAAAGAATGAAAGAGGGCAAGAGCTTCACTGGGCTTGTTCAGATGCACCAAGTGACCTGCACCTCTCACTGCCACTAGTGTCAATCCTCCTTCATATTCCACTATCCTCCCTCCAACCTGCCAAAAAAAAAATCATTAATAATTTTTGCTCACTAATCCCACTTTTTTAATTGTAATTGCAATTTTAATTAATTAATTTATCATCTTTGCCTTTGATATTTTATGTGTTTAAAGGAAACAAGAAAGCAACATAATAACAATAATGTAAGGAAATAATGACTCGCCTGATGGTCATGGTACCACGAACGCCAAGGAGATTTAATAGAGAGTCCGAGAGCTTCTACGCAATACCTCGTCCCAAGCACCGGCACTCTACCGTCCGCGTCGCCGCTGTCGCTCGAAATCCAAACCCGAAGTCGATCAATAACATCGATAAATTCTTTCTTTCTTTCTTTCTTTTTTATTGGCATTACAATCAACACCGCAATTGTATATACAATCGCAATTTATTTAGATGCGAGCGTCAAATTCCACAAAATACATTAGTAATAACATATTCATTATTTATATGATCCGATACGATTAACAATGAAGTCTTTTGTGATCTCTATCATGTCCATAATACCATCTACTTTTTTTTTTTTTGGTCAAATAATACCATCTACTTTGCAAGGAGAATTTATCAATGAAATATTTTCTTCAGTTGAATAACCAAAAAAAAAATTAGACAAAACCATGAAGGAAAACTTATATAAAAATCGCAGAAAGTACATGTACACCCATATTTTGAGTCCACCTTTGATGAGTTTGCTGTAGATTGGCAGTACCGAGAACACCGAGTAGTCATACGTATCTCCCAAGGATTCACTTGGGGAAAACAGAAGAATAGAGGAGGAGGAAAAACTCAGAAAAACACATGAACAGTTGATGCATCAATAGAAAAAACGATGATGATGATGATGATTCAATGCTTATTGTGTTGTCTACATACGTACTTGCAGGCCTTCAAGTTAATGGTGGGATTGGCTGCTCTCACGTGGAGAGAAGATCGAACATCTTGTCTGTTGAAGTACATCTCTGCATACTGAGTGAAACACGGGTCATACCCTCCTGGGATTCTCATCCTCCTCAAACCATATCCATTCACCTACAACAATTGCATATTCGGGCCGACTATGATCAGATTCGCATAGGCCATGCGAATGAAAGGGCGCTGACCTGCTGAGTTTATCTAAGTTTTATTCGCCAAACATGCACGAGTTTCAATCAGACTGTATCCATCATGTGGCTGACAAGATGAGTGAACTGTGCGTGTAAACTCAACTTCTTTCGATGTTGATTACCTTGGTGCGTGGCTCGATGCGGCTTTCACTTGTGTGAGACAGAGAATAAGACATGGAGGAGGAGTTGAGGAGGCATTGCGGGGCGTAGATGTTGTAGATGTCGATCTCTTGCTGGTAGGTCATGAACACGGTGTACATGCCCTTGTTGCACTCGTCAGACCAGTCGTAGACTTTGAAATCGCAGGCTCGCTTGCATTTGTCATAGAGCTGGTCCGAGATCACAGCATGGCTCCATGCATACTCGAGCACGGCCTTGTAGTCATAGTAGTCATTTGTTTCTGGATTCCCTACCTGCAACTTGATTAGTATTTTCATATTTCTACTTTCAATATTGCTTCTGTTTTTTTCCTCCGGATTATCGATTGTTATTTGTCATTGATAGGCAGCTTTCATTTGTGCAATTGGCTCACAAATTAAAACGAACGCGAGATATAAAGGTGTTGTTACTTTTATTGGGTGATTGATTACGACTGTAATGCAATTTTTTTCGTTACCATGGTTGATAAGAAGTCGTAAAAGAGATTAAAAAAATCAAAATCGTAAGTTAAATAACATGAACGAAATGTTGGGAGCGGAATCATCAATTTCTCGGGACAGGGCTCGGGGCTTGTTGAGTACTTACAATGAAGCCTTTGAGGTTGATTGGTGTGTATTTAGCTGTGTCTTTGTTTCTGTCATAGATTAGCTCAGCTAGCTGAGGAACATAGTGACCTGTGAAAATAACCAAGAAATGTCTGATTCAAGCTTGGCATATGAGAGAGAGAGAGAGAGAGAGAGAGAGAGAGAGAGAGAGAGAGAGAGAGAGAGAGAGGGGAGACGAGAGAGAGAGAGGGGAGACCTGCATAGCTCTCTCCAGCAAGGAAGAGAGAGAGAGAGAGAGAGAGAGAGAGAGAGAGAGAGAGAGAGAGAGAGAGAGAGGGGAGACCTGCATAGCTCTCTCCAGCAAGGAAGAAATCATGGGTCTTGAACTGTGGGAACTTTTGAAGCCAATTCACTAAGAAGCTGTATGCATCCTCAGCTGAGAATAATTCAAACACTCTCCTTCATCAGTCTTCAAGTTCGTTTTCAAGAGCAACAGCTGAACTAAAAAAGTAGATATTTACCCACGAGGGCATCATCCAGCATGGACAGATCAGAAGATGTGTTGGTGTAAGAGAACCCAACTCCAACTGGTGACTCCACAAACAGCAGATTTGCCCCTGCAGCACAAGTCAACAGCTCATCAAGTTCCTTTATTATTCTTTGCTTTTCTATCTCTTTTGTTATCTCTGCTAGGGCCAATTATGACTGAGTTGCTTCGTCAAAAAGAAGGACCTTGATTCCAAGCATATTTGTTGTAGGGAAGGTCAGGCCCATTGGTGTTTACTCTGAGGGGCCCCAATTCCACGGCAGCACCATACCCAACCGACGAACAACCAGGCCCTTCACAAATCAATTTCCAAAAAGTCACAGAAAGAAGAAGCAAAAACCCATCAACAATCAGACATTCTTGTTTCCATCATTGATTAGTGCAAATATTTGCATGTTTATATACCTCCATTGAACCAGAGAAGAAGAGGTCTCTGTGAAGGCTGAGACTGGGCCTCAAAGAACCAGTAGAAGAGGGCCCTCCCGTGGGCCTCATTGACTGTGATGTAGCCTGAGAAGTGAGAGATGGAAGGGGCTGAGGGCTGTCCTGGGAGATTTATGACCCTGTCTGATTCTGAGCCCTGAGATGCCCCTTCTGGTGGGGATGTCTGTGTTGGTTGTTGCTGCCCTACTTCCGGGGGTGATTTAATGCAGGTGGTGATTGAGGGGCTGCTCAGGAAGACTAGGAGGTGGATGGACGAGAGAGGGAGAGTGAGGACGTTAACTGAGGATAGAGATGCCATCTCTCTTGTGTTAGTGGTCTGCCTTAAGAATCAATCAAGGTTGATACTCTAATATTGATTATAAATTAGGTTGTGTCGAAAAACCGACCTTCACTATACTTAGGTAGTCATAATGTCTTGCTAGAGACCGCTTATGACTTGTGAGTCAAAAAGGGTTTGAGTACACTGCTAATGTTTAGTGAACTTACAGGGTCGCACACAATAACGAACTGAGTTAATATTTTCTGTGCGCCAGGATCTGCTTAAAATAAGAAGTAGATTTTAATTTATTTTCATATTCAACTTATCTACGCGGTCGTGCACGTTATGAGATAACGATTAAACGTACGATTGAAGGTGGACAGTTTTGCAGGCCCAAATCGCCCGGCCCCACTTCTTTTAATTCGCGAAGATAATGAGGCTATATATATAGCGTGTGGGTGAAAAAGAACCCTATGAAATAAGAAAAAACACCTCCAAGAGAATACGAAGAGAATTGTTCTTTGTTCAGAGATCTTTGAGAGAGTCTCGAAGATCAAAGGCGATTAGGAAAAAGAAGTTCAAGATCTTTAGCTAGCACTTGGATTATTGGAGACTTCCGTTCGTGTGTGTGGATACCGGTAGAGACGCAATACTTGGGGCGATAAACCAGACACAATCGACTATCAATTTACCTTCGATCTGCAAAAAGGTACGTGTTGAACTTCTATTTAGATTTCAATATACGCATAAATCCTGTCTAAGGTTTCGGTTTATAAATTTCGCTACGTTTTTAGCACTTGAGGAACCCAACATCTTGTTCACAAAGAAAACTTCAGGATTGACCAAAAGTGTCCATGAGGCCCTATTTAAAATAATTGAAAGACAGATGGAAATGCATTATTGTTGTATGTCGATAACATAATGGACTTTTACCAAGGTCATTATCATGGAGAGAAATTCCAAGATACATGAAAAATCTTTGGTACCCTCGAATCTGCCAACTAGACCAACCTGATGTGGATCATCTGTGCTTGACGACCGTAGTGGGGAAGTGAAACTTATTTGGTTAACTAGTGTAAGAACTAGTCTTGGCTAAGTATTATCTTCTCTCTTGCCCGGAACAAGAAAAGGACGTATCCAACTATCAATTCAAGAGTTGATACCACAAAAAATCCTAAATTATATCTATTGTCATGAAAATCTCGAATTTATATCAATATGATAAATATACTTTAGATGAAACTATAATAAAGAGTATATATATCACACATATATAAATTTATGTTTTTTTGTGATATAAAAAAAGTTACGGATATTTGTATCATAACGGGTGAGGTTAGAAGTTTTTGTGATAAAAAAAAATTGAGGATCTTTACCGGTGTGGTATTTGCCCTCAATTCAATCATTTGCATCTGGAAAAGGATATCAATCATTAGCATCCGGAAAAGGAACAGAAGAGCTGTAAAGTTTGCGTTTGTGCACTATAATTCTCATCTCTTGATTGCTAGTTTGTCTTTTGTGGCTCGAGAGACTGCAATGATGAAGGCTTTCGTGGAATTTACACTCAAATGTCCTTTCTAGCAAGCGAACACGAGTGTCTTCGAGAATCAGATTGGAATGTGTAATACTTGGATTTTTTTAACAAAGCTAAAAAAAAAAAAAGTTCAAAAGTCAACAAAGCAAGGAATAGTGGACACTCAGCACAAAACAGAGAGAAAATATTAGGCGGGCCGGTCACTCCATGCTCGGCATAAAAAACGACTGGCGGGAGGATCTCCGAGTGAAAGAGAACGGGATGATAACGTAGAAGAAAAGAAAATCCTAGAGGGTATCTTTCGAGTGCGACGAAGGATTTGGAGCGCCGGAGCCGGACGCCGGAGCAGAGGGCCGGAGGAGCAAAATCTGAGAGCAAAGAGGGAGATCCACAATTTGAATAAAGGTGAGGGAGAGTGAGAAGGCCTTTGCTAGAGAGATAAGGACGTTGGCGTCCATGCTCAGAGAAGGAAAGAACGAGGGGAGAGAGAAAATAGCGATCAATGAAGAGGGACGCTTTTTCGTGCCAAACGGTGGGAGAAGGAGGCCGCAATTAATGAAGAGAGGGAAGGAAGGCAAAAATTTGATTAAGAAAATAGGTGGGACCCGACCTCAACGAGAAGTCACGTGTCGCTTTATGATTGGGCCGGCACACGGTGACGTGGAGTGGACAACCCACCTAATATTTTCTCGCAAAAGGGAGACCGAGAGCTCACGCGAGGAAGGAAAGGAAAGGAAAGAAAAGAGGAGAAAAGAAAGAAAGGGAAAAAAGGAGGAGGAGGAAGAAAGAAGGGGGTTCTCGTCGTGAATGCCTCGTCAAGCTAATCCAACTATGTATCGCGATGCTCAGTAAATACCCGCACCCCCTGATCGTCTAATTGGAGTACTTTTCGAAATTATGGCACAATTTCAAAGTTTTGTAAAATTCAAGCCGCGAAATCTGATTTATGAGATATTGAGCTATGGGATTTCATGGAAATGGTGGATTATATCGTTGCAGAGTCATGGGTTTTAATAGGAGTCGGTTTAGAGTAATGGTTTTGTTGGAGTGAGAATTTTAGGGTTTCGCACGTGAGTTCAGCGTCGCGTTTAGGTTTGAGTGAGCGATTTGTTGGAACGTAACAGTTGTTTTATTAGCGTTTAAGCGGTTCGTAGTTGTTGTAGTATTTTACTTGGTTTTAACGTAAATTCTCGTTTAATTCATAGGATTACGAGATCATATGTTCGCGTGAGCTTCATTGTTAGGCTTTTGGGCATTTCCAAATGAATGATGCTATCTCTTTTTTAAGTTTTTTTTTTTTGGTAAGGAAACCTCTTTTTGGTAAGGAAACCTTTTGCTATCTCTTTTTTAAGTTTGTAAACTCATATTTTGAAAATATAAAGTATGAGATATATTCTGTGCCAAGCGTGATTCGGCTAAAGAAAAAAAGTGATGTTTTCAAATGTAACATTGGATTGAGCATTTACTATTATATTTGTTATTTGAAATGTTGAAGAAGTGTTTAATGAAATGAATTGCAAAAGGTGTTTTGGTGGATAAGTTGAGTTGCAACAGATTGTATGCTTTGTTTTGTAAATTGATTATGGATTTGGTTTTGAGGATTGTGAAGGATGTTGTGGATTGGTGTTGATGCTAAGTGTCACTATGAGCCCATTGGGGGGGCTTGTGGGTATGCAATGGTTAGGATATTCTTGTGGGCCGAGCCACTAATTTATAATACATGGAGACTTTGCTAAGGAGGAATCTTGATCGCCTTATCACAAGACGTTTTGTCATGACTATGATTTTATATTAAGCAATAGATTGATCAGTGGATGGACCATTGACATGTGATTTGATATTGGTCGATGGAATAGACTATTGAGTGATGTTAGATAGAGATTGACCATTGATGTTTGAATTGTAATGATGATTTAAATGAGTATTTTCTGAATTGTATAAAGTTTGTTGAAATTAATAACTCGTTTGTGATTTGATATGTATATTAAAGAGTTGGATTATGAGTTTCTGATATTGCTTTAATAGTTGCTCAATCTGCTTATAAGAGATATGCATTACTCATTAGGCTGTGGTTGCTCACCCCTCTTCTTCTCAATATTTTCAAATTACTCCGTTAATGGCCATTAGAGCAAGAGCGATATTGCAGGGATTTTCTGGAGTTGGTTTTCGGGAGGTTTGAAGCTGCGTCCTTTGGGTGGAAGGAAGGCCAGGTCACTCCCCATTTTGGTAGGATTCAAGGTGTGACGGCATGAGCCAATGGAAAAAACAGGACTTTCAACTTTCTGGTTTTGTAACATGTTTTAGCAAAAAAAGAAAAAAAAACAGTTTTATAACATGTTTATTTATGTTTGTGGAGATTCTTTTCTCAGCTTTTTCCTTCAAGATTTAAAAAAAAACGTTTAAATTTGAAAAAATTCGCAAAAAAGAAGAATTCTACGGGTGGATATTCGAATAAACGGATCGATTTGTAGGTTCCTTAGTATGGAAGGGTTTCCTATACAAAGCATTGGACTAACAGCGGTTTACAAGACTTGAATTGTCGATGTAGATGCGATGTGATTAGTTTTGTGAAATAGTATGTGTCTTTAGAAGCATCAAAATAGTATGATGAGCGGTCGATCTTTTCCAAAATTGATTAAGGTCGTTTAGGTGGTGTATTTCATTCGGGTAACATTTTGAAAATTTTTCGGTGTTTCGAGTTGGATAAAATTAATGGTGTGAGTTTTGCAAAATTTTCAAAACAAATCAGAGATTAAAAGTAGGAAATATGACACAAATGGTCCTTGAGCTTTGACCCAAAGTGCAATGTGGTCCCTGAACCTTTTAATTTGTTCAATATGGTCCCTGAATTTTTAAATTGTTCAATGTGGTTATTGGACTTTTGGTACATATTCAATTTAGTCCATGGACTATCTGAAAATGTTCTGTATTGTCCTTGGACTTGAATTAATGGAAGGACAATATTGAACATTTTCATATAATTCAAGGAGTAAATTGAATATTTACTAAAAGTACATGGACCATATTAAACAAATTAAAAGTTCAGGGACCACGTTGCACTTTAGGGTAAAGTTCATGGATCACATTGAACAAATTAAAAAAGTTTTGGAACTAGATTGCACTTTGGGCTAAAATTGAAAGACCATTTGTATCATTATCCCAAGATATGTATTAAAATGAGCCATTTATGTTGGTTATCGATAATGTTCCGAAGTAAATTTCTTCAAACTTTTTGACAATGACCTTACATACAAATATGGATAGTTTTATATAAGATGTTGCATAGAGGTGAGAAAGGTTCATCTTCCATCCAAAACCAGCCCTGCTCCACGTTGTGGACCTTGTCGAGCCTTTCAAATCCGATTCCAAGGAGAATTAGGTAGGTTCGCAAGTTCAAAATCTGGGAACCAATCAAGTTCAATCTGATCTCCAGGTCGAGCCATGAACCTACTGATTATACCTAAGAATTGAATCAACTAGATCGGTTCCTGAGTAGAACTAGCGA